AGGATCCAGCATAATAGAATGAAACCAGATAAGATATTTATCTCACAAGTTTGGGGGGGCTTTTTGATGCAGTCTCAAGAGACTGAAGTGTACTGCTGAGCATTTCTTTAATGACTTCTCACAAGCGCAATAAAGACCAAGCTCAGTGGAGCATATTATTAGACAGATAATAACCCTCATCCAGCCGAGATGTAAGTACTGAAGCCATCACACACAAGATGAGTTGTCTGGAAAGTTTTGTTTTGCCCCCTTAAAAACAATCAAAACAAACCACACACAAAAACCAGAAGGTGGTCTATATGCCCCACAAAAGTCCACCCAGATGTGCCATGAAATTCATACCACCACAGCAGCTCATCTGGCTTTGATTCCAAGGGCTGTGCTCTTTAGTAGTAACATGCAGAACAAGGACCAGATATTGCTCCCCTGTGTACCAGCAGAAATTTTGTCAGGAATTCAGAAGGAAGCAATCCCAGCCTTTCTCCAAGGGATACATGAAGAGACAATTGCTCAACAACTGTAGCTTGACTTCTGAGGGGCCCAGGGAGGAGAAAAGCAATACAGAGCCTGCAGTAACATTTAAATGGAGATTTTGAAACGCACCAGGTGGTACAAAAAAATAAAAAAAATTAAAAAAAAAAAAAATCACATAGGGAGCAAGCCTTGGAAGGTCTATTGAGCTACATGAGAACATAACATAACCAAACCCCTCCTTCAGCAGAGAAGAGAACCAACTAAATTTGGTTCAGACAGACTGTGTTTCAGTATCGCTCCCATGCCCTTCCTGGTAGCTTCCATCTTCGCAGCTCCTTTTAAAACGTAACATGTTGAGTCTGTGCATTTTTTCTTTCCCCTGCCAAAAATAATCAACCTGAAAAAAAAATCCTTCTGAAATCTCAATTCTGCGCCGTCTTAGTCACCCTTCTGATTACCCTTTTGTGCAGCCAGACTGTTCATCAGTGTTATTCTGATGAAAAAGTTGCCTACGACTAAAACGGGAAAGCACATACAAATTACTTCACTTCCCCACCCTTACGAAACCCACCAGCCAAAATTCTTATCACAGAAAGAAAAAGAATTATATAATTAGACTGTACCCTTCTGATGTACACTGAACTGCTGCTCTCAGTGATCACAGCCACTCTTCAAAGCCTCTGAGATAAAAAGAATCTTATCATTCAAATTATTACTTCTTAGGGATGCTCTTATCAAAGTTTGAAGGAAAATTCTAAAAACAGCAGTGATATGAAACCAGGACTGAGCCATATTTTAAATGACACTGGATTTTCTGCCAATTGGCCAATTCACAACTCAAAAAAGCAAGCGTAGATGAAGACAAAGCTGTTGGCTCTCATAACCTTTACAATATCGCAGTAAAAATCTCAACTGTCTCACATATTTATACTAAATGGCAGGTCTAAAATTGAGATTTGTAATTTCACAGCATCAAAATCGTCACAGATGGCTACAGTCTATTGCTTCTTTCTGTCTTTTCTCCCTTCCTGCTTGTTTTCCCCCCCTCCTCCTTTGAGTTAAAAAGATATGTGTTTTATCATAAGGAAATCACAGCTAAATCCAAACCACATTATATTAATGTGTAACAAAACAATTTACATAACAATGATGCATAAAAGAGAAGTTTAAAATTACTTTATGTCTCAACTTTGCCCTAAAGCACTAATTACCTCAGCCTTGAGTTGTGCCACTAGTTAGGGATAGCCAATATTCCACATTTATATTCTCCTAAAATGATAGCCATTGACACAGGAAATTTGTGGGAGAATAAACAATAATAATAAGAAAAAAAAAAAGCAACAGCACATTGTTGTATTTTAACATCAAGTACACAGCTACAAGCAAAGAATCAGTGCTCACCTAATATTTCTACCAGTCAGGACCCATTTTTCATAACCACTCCTGTGACACTCCTGTGGAGCTTCCCAAATAAATACAGATTAAATACTTGGCACCTTTCCCTTCCTGCCCTGGGTTTTTGCATATACACACACATGTTCAGTAAGACAATCACTATCAATAAAGTCAGCTGGAAAAAAAATAGCAGTCAGAGGAAGGAGAATTTTGTCATTGTATTCCAACACCTCCACACCGCCAACTCGATTTTTTTTTTTTTTGTTACAAACCCTGTTCAAGGTCAGAGAGTCATTAACTCCCACTACAGGAGCCACTTTAGATGTGAAGTGCCTTCCCATTATGCTTCACACACACACACATTAGAAATTAAGCAAAAGCCGCTCAAGGAAAATGTATTATTTAAGAATGAGAAGGTTGAGCGAACTTGAAGCGGCTTTCAGGGCAACCCAAGTGCCAGCTGGTCCGTCCCAGCACTGTGCAGCCGGGGCAGGTACCAGGAGGGACAGGAGCTCCGACATCTCCCATGGATCTCCCAACAACTGCAAAGCCCCGATCTGCTGGCCTAAACTATTTCTGCCCACTGAGCTTTTGTCAAACATTTAAGATCTTAATCAATCCAGACTCTGACCCTAGGATCACAGGGGAAGATGGATGAGGAAACGGACAACCTCTGACCTTCCCTTGTATTTGTCCTGCCACAGTCAACCTATTGAAAAACAATTGAGATGGAACCTGCTCACCAGCTCCAGTCCCAGCCCACCACCCTCTTGCAGTCTTTCCCAATCTCAAAGCCTGTCTCCCCCCATCCCCAACCCTCTGTACCAAAACCACAGGAATCCTCCTCACTGCATCCTTCTCCTGCCCCCAGAAACCTGGCAGAGCAGAACATTTGCTGAACTATGAAGTTGAGTGGGGAAAGAAAAGGAGAAGGCTCATTCAGCAGTGTCAAAGGCCAAACTGCTTTAGCAGCCTCGCTGGAAACCAGAGAGCGAGCTGCATAGTTCTGGTAAACTTCATGAATTCATGAAGAAGAGCTTCCGTCAAAACTGTTCTGGCTGGAGAATGGCAAATGTGAGAAAAGGAAACCACAAATAACCGCTGATGAAATGTGTTTAGTGCTTTCAAATTACACACTGGCTCAAGTCCTCTCAAAATGACTAGTACAAGCCAACGTCACTCTGGAAAGCCAAAGCAATGGAACATTTCTATCTCCTTTGTAAATATAGCATCACTTAATCTTCATTTTACTTTGGAAACATGAGAATTAGGTGTCCCAGGCCCAACCTTCCTTGCGGCCGAGAGCCAGTAGGTGAGCTGACATCCACCCACAAAGGCTAATTAAACACCACAAAATAAGTTAATACAAAGCATCCCACTATCACCACTGACCACCTGCAAAACCTCAGGAGATTTCCCTTAAGCAACATAGGATTTGTTAGGCAATTAGCTCCTCATGTCTGGGCCGCTGACACCAAAAAATGATAGATCTGTGTCAATCAGAGTGATCCAGTACTGACCTAGTAGGCTTTTAGGAGAAGGTGGAATAACCTCCATGCAATAAACCAAGATGCTCCCCGCTACTCCTTCACTTCCTCCTCTCTCAACTCAGGCTGTAAAGTTAACTTCCGGGCAAAGCTTCTTGACATCAAGAATGTAAGAGCATCTCCGCAGCCACTTAATGGGTCCCCCAAGTAACACCCAGTCAGTACCACAGCCACAGGTTCACACATTTAACAATACACAAGTTTTCAAGTTTCCACCTCATGGGATTCAAAAACACAACCCAGAGTTATTTAACCCAGACAGTGTGCCCTGCCAATGTGCCCATCTTTGAGCTACAGCCCGTGGTAATTTAGTTGCCAATATGGCACACTTTGGCTTTTTCCATACAGAAAAAAATACAAATTAAGGCTGAACTTCATACTTAGCACTTCTGTCCTGCCAAAGCTTAATTTCAATGCATAATAATGAATTTCAGGCTGCCTGTAAATTATCAATTAAAGGAAATCAAGTAGGACATTCAAAAGACACAGTTCCCTTAGGAGCTTAGCACAAGAGCCAGCAGTTACTTGGCTCTGCTATCTTGTTCTCCATCTCAAGATGAAAGAAAATGACCTAGTGAAAAATACACCAAGATGATATGAAGCAAAATCTGGCTCCAAAGAATTTTCCAAAAACATGCTTCCAAATTCCCTAAGGAGCTGAGCACCTTCAATTCAGCACCCAGCAAAATTAAGCCCACTGACCTGTGCAAGAATCCATTTAAATTTGATCTTAGTTCATGCTTACATGAGCAAGAGTTTAGAAGCTGAGGCTAAAGATATTTTATTTATAAACTTCCTCCTCTCCTTCCCTAGCCTTTTACAGCATCTTTTTCCAGCAAGGAGAGGTGAAGAGAACATAGGTATTGAGGTTTTTCTTTTTAAGATAATCTGCCTTTTATACAGACTTAAATCCCTAATTCTGCAGCACACAGGATGGTGTGTGTGGGAGGGTGGGGTGGAGACTTTTAGCATTTCTAAGAGTATCCTAGCACCTCTATTATTAAGCTGACAATAGAGACTCTCTGCAAAATGAAAATATTTAACAAAGGCAGCAGTGTCAAATATCAAAGGGTATTTAGTGCTAAAAAATTTGCAACAAGTAAACCACCAAAGACTTCCCCTTCCCAAAGTGGGAAAGCCATCCAGCTAAGACTCCTGTTCCCCTCCCTCCCCACACTGGTTCTTACCCCACTGCATTATCCAAAGCAGTCTTTGCCAGAATTCCCTGTGCTTAACAAAGTTCAGATAAAACTTGAGAGATTTGTCTCTTTTAAACAATGGTAGCTTGACTGCCCTGTTTTGCAGTCATCCACATTTTGGTGACTATTGTGAGCCAAATCAAATTTAGGCGCCTGCTAGAAAATGTGTTTTGCCTTCTGCCTGTTATGGCAGTATCATTTGTTTGGCATTATATAATTCCTAGCCTTGCCACCTGGAGCTACTGCACTTCTTCATTAAACTCCTCTGTCCCACCACATCCCACAGGGGCTGCTAATTACTGGCTTTACTCCATTTACTCTCATCTCCAATTCAATTATGCATTCAACTAAGCCTTAATGAAGAGTACAATATGGCTCATCCTACCTTGGCATTCACCGTTACTTTCTTCATAGCCAGCGTTGCACAGACAGTTGCCAATGGGTACCAGCCATTCGCCATCTGCCCCACAGTACATTTTTGGCACATCCTTCTCTTCAGAGTTGTTGACACAGGAGCCACGAACCTCCACCAGAGAGGATGTATCAGCCCCAGTAATGGTGTCTGGAAACTGCGCCAGGTTTCGAACTGTCAATGGGCACTTCTTATAGAAGACACGAACAGACACTAAAGCGATGCAGGCACCAACGTCCTGAAAAGCCAAGTAAAACCCTTTCTTGCTGAGTGGTCCGACATCCCGTATCTCTGTATTCAGCTTCATGATCCTGTCACCAATGTCCACTTGGGTGAAGCTCTCATCAGCAGCAATGGTGTCGATCTTGGCAAACTGGCTCTCTCGAATGAAACGCTCCTTATCATTGTTTGATTCATAGTAATAAAGGTTGAATGTCTCTTTGCAAGTTCCCATGACACCTGGCAGGCTGTTGCAGTCTCTTAGTGTGAACTTGATTTCAATATATACCCTTTGAGCCCCCTCACGAGGAACCCAATCAGTTCGTAACCAATTATTCTGACTGGGCTCCATCACATTGCAGACTTGATAGGTGCGGATCGGAGTGTTCTTCTCATCCATAATGCTTACTTCCTCCCACTGCAAAGAGGGAAAGGGAAAATAAAATACATCAGTATTAAAAGGAACAACAGAGCTTCACAGCAAACATAATCTGTACTTCCACAACTAACATAGAAACCATATTTTTTCCATTACAGGAAAACAAACAAGCAAACAAACCAAACAAACCCAGCAGATCAAGCCATTGCCAGTAGACATTAACTACTTGGACATTAAAAGAAGAAATTGTTCAGAAGAAACAAGCTCCAAAGCAAGTAGCACCTTGAGGAGCAAGCATGTGTTTTAAAGGCCCTGTCAGCCAATCCAAGAACCAACCAACTATGCTTAACTGCACTGCAGTTTTGCCCATAGGACCCTTGCCTAGGTAAAGGCTATGCATGGCACTTCATAGAATCGACAGCAGATAAGGCAGGTAATGCATGGACCTTGCAGGCAATGGCCCCAAATCAAGTTCAGGCATCGTTGGAAGTGCCAGACTAAAGGCTATGTAATTATCAAACAACAAAACAGGCACTCTAAAGAAGGTATCAGAAGAAGAGATCTGGCCCTAATTCAGTAGTTCAGTGTCATGAGTTTAGAAAAGGAAAGCACACATAACCAACAGCTTTAAAAAATAAATCATTTTAAGGGTTATCATAGACAGAAGAAAAGTTTATCACAGAGCTCTCCTGGTAGGGAGAGAAGAGGAAGGGGCATTAGAGAGAGAGCTCTTTCCAGCACAGCACTCAAGTATCAGAAAAATCCTTCTTAAAAAAAAAAATAACATATACATAAAAATATATTAGAAAATGATATACTGTCTGGGTTCATAGGCAATACAATGAACCATATAAAATTATCCTTGGAAAGCAGTAATAACTTTAAAGAGACTTCCCAGAAGTGCTTTTCAGAACTACTGAAGCCCTGGCTTTGATAAACAGAAGCCTTCTTAACGTTAAGGGGCTTCTTGTATAATATCCTGCATTCTTCTCACAAGGATTGCTCTTATGCAAGTGATTTTTACTTAAAAAGCTTCAAGCTTAGCTGAATCCGTTTATAGAATGACAGTAGTTAGCACCATGAGTCACTAGGAGCAGAAAGAATAATATTTTATTTGCTGCCTAGAGATAACTGCAAATTAAAACGAAGGGGGGGCAGAATCAATACTCAGCATGTCACTCCTTTTCACAGAAAAGGAAAAAAATAAATCTTAAAATGTCATCTATCAATGTAAGTGTAACAAGGTGTTAGTAAGACAACAGTGTTGTTTAATTTGCATCTGCTACTGAGCTCATTTACTGTTACAATATTGTTATGATCCATCACTTTCCATTCTGCTTATCTTCAGACTGTCTACACTACCTATATTGTGTGTGGTACAAGAGAAAGGAAGAAGCAGAGGGAAATAATACTTGTTGATGGGATTTCCTTTAGTGCATTTACACAATGGAGGATGCTGCAAGAGGATTCAATAAAGAGACCGCTGAGGTCAATGGACAGACTGCAACTAAAATCAGCAAGTTTCAGAACAGGGTCTCAACAAAACCCTGTCTCCTAACAAAAATACAAATATATAGGGTTTCTTATTTCATGAACACACACACACACGCTTGTGTCTTACTGCCAGAGACGAAACTAACTACAGCCCCATGTTTCCAGCCACTGTGAAACATTTGTAACTCTGAAGTATGTGGACAAAGCTGTAACTTTCTGTGTTTAAAGCTGAAATTAGCTCTTGTAATTCAAGTCTTCTCACAGTTTAATGATGCAAAATAAAGCATTCTGGGTACAAAACCTGCTTTTCAACTGTGAAATGCAAGAGTAAATCATTAATTACATTTATAATGCAATTCATTAATTCCTCCAGGGCTACTATATATTTGATTACTGCTAATCACTCCTAAATGACTATGTTTATCTCCAGCCCTTCTTATCCACACAATCCTCTCACCTCGGGAACTGCATGGTGTAGATCTAGAAAAATGCCTTTTTTATAGCCAAAAAGGTACACACAGTTGAAGAAAAATTAGCACCAAAGGACAGAATCTTCTCAGGAACATAAAGGAGTTAATTTCTGCTGCTTGAAATAAATCTGCAACATATGAAGTTCGAATAAATGCTTTCCAAGCACTGTATCTCAGAGACAGACCATGTACTCTTAAATTTTTCACTACTGGCTTAAAAATAGAACACACATATGTAGGTTTAGTGAAACGAGTCACGTCCACAATAAAAGCACATATTTCCTTCTCAGGCTCGTATGGCGCTTTCAGAGAAAACATAGGGGAAAAGGGGGAATCCAACAGCCATTAATAATACACAGCTGCCCTCTGATCATCAATTCTACTACCAACTTATTGAAACTTTTATTTTAGGTCCAGTTTTAATACGCAGGGTAGATATCTCTTGGAGAGCCATATGAAAGACCCCATCTCATTAGCTGACCTTTCCAGGGTACAGGATTAACAAGGAAGCCCGACTCTCACTGAGATAGAGCTGTACCTTTCCACACTGTCAAAGGATGAGGGCAATTGCCTGCAATCAGCAGTGAATGTGCACCGTGGGCACTGCTAGAGGCCTGCCAATCACCTCCCCACTCTTTGAAAAGCCGAGAAAAAACGAGCCTCCGTGACAGCACAGTGTGCTCAGGCGGAGCACAAGCCAGGACTGTAGTCAAGTTCACCCAGAACAACAATGGGGGAGCAAAACAATCCCCCATTCTCCCATGTTATGGTTATTCAGAGCTTATGCATAATGCATCACCAGCCGACGCAACCTTGGATTCCTTCCACTCACTTCTGTTTCCTTAGCTCTGCTTCTGCTAATTACAAGTGGGAACGCACACAAAACAGTAGATCTGTAGGTTTCCCGAAGAGTCCATTGCTTTGTTGTGAGCAGGTCCTGATCTTTCATCACTTTTATTTTTCAGACAGTTTGACTTAGTTACTTCTCCTTAAGCATACTAAGCTGCTTTACTCATTTAATATCCAAAGGATTTGAGATGCGTTTCTTTATATTAATGTTTAGCCTGCATTGCTGGCATTTTTCTGAAATTGTTCACTTGAAAAAGCCTAATTGCTTATTAAAAAGTAAAAATAAAAACCCCTAAAAGATCCCATAAAGTACAGTCTCCACCAGACCCCACCAACTCCAGCATTCTCAGGAGTCTCCCCACAGAGGTCACAGGCACCCTGCAGGATGGGGCACACACGAGGGTGCAGCAAGGTGCCCATCCACTAACACGAAACTAAACTAGTAGATATACCTGGCCTCCAGCCCACAAGGTAAAAGGGCTCTAAGCCCCAAGGATGGATGTGTGAATCTTAATGTCATCGCATCACTATCAGGCAGCGAATTCAAGCATCTTCTCGTAAAATTATCTCTTTAAAAGATGTACATAAAGAGAAGCTCAAAGTAACCACCATCAAGCACTGGGTGCTTCAGTTTAATCTGTTCAGAGACCAAACGTACGATGTTTACATCCTAAAATAGGACAACTGTCCCATCACACTAAAATGTGTATCTTGTATATTGATCCCTACTCCTTCATCCAGAAATAGCACAGCAATTGCCCTGAACATCTCCCAGCCGAGACAGCCCATAGATATAATAATTACAGTCAAGAATGCCAGTTCAGTCGCCAGATCACATTTCTTGTTGGTATTTCAGTTTTAAATAGGCATCTAAGCCCATGCCTCAACCAATCTCTTAATTCTGAAACCTCTTTTCTGCCCTTTTGGTTTCCACTTCTTCCATGACAGAGCTATCCAAAGGGAGTATAGAGTTTCTCCAACAAAGAGTAATTCATTGGGTAAGCCAGGGAAGAAATCTGACCTTCTCACCACAATCAACAATAATCGAGCCATTAGGACTCTCTGAAAGTTACTAATCACCCCCTTTACCCTTTTGATCAGATAGCGGTTTAAAACTTACCCCTCCTTCCAGGGGACTTGCTATCCACCCCAGCTCTCCCTGAACTGATCTGGAATCCAGCAAGGTAACTGCGGAAAGGTACAAATAAAACAGATTAAATTCCAGCTGCCAAAAGGCAATATTAAAACAAACCGTTCACCTGAGCGTTTCCATATGTGTAGAGCACGATCGCATCCACCTTCAGGTTGAAATGAAATGTTATTTCCGACTGCGCCAATACCTCGAACACTTTGAAACTCTCTCCGCTTTCGATCTGAGGAATAGCACGTCTATTCCTCCGCGGGATAAAGCCGCTCACAGGGCGCGGGGTGAGCGGTGAATCCCCCCCGGCACCGAAGAGCGCTCCTGCCCGGCAGGAGAAGCGGGC